GGGTGATTATAAATGCTTATTATCCTAATGAACACTTTTTCTTTTGAAAAATGAAATAAAAAATACTTTGGCGAAAGAGAGTCGGACCAAAAATAGTGGATCTTAGTGAAGAATGGTATAATATGCGCTTGATTAGAGCACAGACAATGGCAAGACAAAAAATGGAATGTCGCACGTTGACGTGAAAAATTTTAACCAATAGAAAATAGTTCAGTCATTGTGTGGCAAGAGCATGGAGTAGCATGCATTGCAGTGGCAAGTCATTATCTTTGTCACTTTTTTACATTTTTATATATTTAATTAATAATATTTATTTTATTTAATATTTTTATAAAAATAATTCTACTTGGTTTATACTATCTCCATTCCCAAAAATGTCGTAGTTGCTATTTTAAATTTTTGATAACATTTTTTGTGCTTCCCTTTTTCATGGTATATTTAATAAAATAAATTATTCTTATCGCTGCTTATTTTGTAAAAGTTTTGAAATGGTGAAAAGTTAAATTGAAAAAAATTATTATTATTATTGAGTGACAAGTGAGTGGAGTGACAGGACCTATAATGATAAGTCATTATATATTAATAATTAAATATATAAAAATGTAAAAAACTTTTTTTGTGCTTCCCTTTTTTATGTATATTAACTAATAAAATTTTTTTTATCATCTCTTTTAACATACAAATACTCTGCATTTCTATTACCTTCATAGAAAAAACTTTTTTATATATAAAAATAGAAATTGAAACTAAAAATAATAATATTTCATAGTGGATAAATCCACCGACACCTTCATCTGTACCCCCTCGCAAATTTCTTTCTTAAGTTAAAAAAAAAGGAAAAAGAAAAAACAAAAGAAAAACTAGCCTTACCATGCCTCGACAATGACTCGCAAGGAGAGTCAAAATGCAAATGACACGCGAGGAGAAACAAGTTTGGTGCTGATGTGGCAGTGCGTAGAGGCTATTTGCCTCGCCACTACCACTGCTCTTAATGCAAGAGATCACNTGTAAACAATGAAACAAGAATAAAAAGGAATCTTATACAATTAAGGAAACTACTAAATATAAATAATATTAAATATGTTACGGAGTAAATATTTAACATGCTTCTAGCTACGTCGGCAAAGAGAAGGGTCGGTAATTCTATTGTGAAGATAGCATTGAACCGGGAGGAATACAGGACATGAAGGACACGCATGTGGCCAAGTGCTACTTTGTCCCGGGCAAAATGAATGTCAACTTCGACATGTTTAGTACACTGAAGTTAAACCGGGTTGGAAGATAAGTAAATGTACAATGCTAATGTTATCGTAGAAGACAATGGTAGTTCGACGTAGTGGTTGATGGAGATAAGTAAACATACAACACTTAGATTTTATTTTTTAATAATGCGGGAGAAAAAGAATAAGTTTTTATAATCTTTGGTGGGGGTAGTTGGAATTTTGATTTTTTCTTGAATCTTAATTAATATGGAGGAGAAAAATCATATTTTTTAATCATAGAATTATAAGATCAGTAATTTAGGTTTTTTAAAAATTAATGCGAGAGAAAAGAACCATTGGATCACTAATACTTTTTGTATTAATACATTTTTTAATTTATTCGGGAATCGCAGAGAAAAATTACATATTTGTAGAAATACATCAAACCTATACCATTTATGTTTGATGTTTAAATAATATACTGCATAAAAATTAAGTCATTTTAAAAATCTACATTGTACAACGCACAAAATTTTTGTTCGAACCCATGAATGACACGAGTAGAAATACTACTCCTAGTATGTTAAATATTTAACACTTAGGCCCGTCATAACACTTAGGGGCTGTTTGGCAACTTCTGAATAGATAAGTGCTGAACCAGTAAGAGGTCTGAACCATTAAGAGCTAGTATATTGCTTAACTATTCAGAGGCAAATGTCTGATCAATTCAGATAAGAGGTCTTAACCATTCAGATTCTGTATAATACTTAACCATTCAGAAGCAAAATCCCTTAACCATTCATACATCTGAACCATTAAGAAGCTGAAACAAATAGTCTGAACCATTAAGTGCTGAACCATTCAGACATCTGAACCATTAAGAGGCTGAAACAAACAGCCACTTAGTCACCCTACAAACATCGCCATGGAACAAGAACTAGCTCCAAATATTTCTTGCAACCTCTTTAATACTAAATGTCTACATTCATTTTCATATACCAAGACAATCCAAGACTCTATATACATCCATCCCATTAAAAATCTCTTTTTTCACCAACGTATAACTCACTCCCTTCATATCCGTCCAGTTTCACTCTTTCGAGTCAAATAGAATAAACTTTAATCATCAATTAATCTTAATTAATATTGCATATTAATACAATGAAGTCAAATTTTTAAAGTTTTGAACAAGATGAATCTAACCGAATTATTTTTACATATTAAATACAGAGCATAGTACAATTTTTCTCTAATTGAAGTCCAAAGCTCATCTAATTTAACTCAAAAAAATCAAACTAAGCGTATAATTTGGGACAAAAGTCGTATTAATATTGATAAGATACAAGTATAGAAACTCATCACAGAGAGGCATGCATGTACTCAATTTGTCTCTCTAATTAAGTTCATAGTTTTTTTTATCCATCCCAAGACAAAGTTCACACTTCTTTCCCTTCTTTTCAAAAAAAAAATGGCTCAAGATATTTATCTTCCAAACAAATGTATATAAGATACTTTTTAAATTCTTAAACTCTATAAAAACAAAGAATTAAATCAATCCAAGAGCATAGAGAGCAGCTTGGCCCATCAATGGGTCGGGGGCCCAACTTCTACCTGGGTTTGTCGGTTATTTTACGAGTTGGCCCAGCCAAGATTCAAACCCAATTTAAAACTTTTACAACGAGTTTGGGTGTGGAAGACCCTATTCTAGATGGGACGCCATATAGAAAACAAAATAATGTTTTAAATTTTTTTATGAGAAAACTGAAATAAATACGAGTACTTGTTTTATCCCACAAAACATTTCCTGTATTAATTTTTGGGAAGGGAAACTTTTAAACTTTAAGCAAGATCAAACGGCAACAACCGAAACAAGTAGGATTTGAAGAGTCAAAATAAGTAGGACGTAAAAACCAATCGGGGTATGTTAGCTTAAATTTAAGAAAAATAGGGACGTTTATGTTAGGTGCAAATGTTATCTAAATGAGTTTAAATTTGAGGATAATACAATGAGTTTGTTCTCCCCATTCCCCCAACTTTTTTTTTTACTTATTACTTATTCTTATTGAAATCAGATCAGATCAGAAATAGCATTAAATATAAGTACATTCAGATAAAATCACACCAAGTCAGATCAGAATTTCTTCCAATCAGATCAGGTGAAAAGAACATGACCTTAATTGCCTAGATTCAGACCCAATTTGACCAAGACATAAATGGGTCCAATCCTTGTAACACAAATGGTATACCCGGCAAATAATAGATCATGGGTCATCTTATAAGTAATAAACATGAATAATTTAGAAAGAAAGAACCCAAAATGCATATTACATAGAGCATGTCCTTGCTCTCGTCAATTTTACGATCAGAGTACCGTAAGTGTCTCAATTGAACTCGGGTGGGAATTTTACACCAAATGTAGTGTCATTTTAGACTCCCTCAATTCTAAAATGTGCACACTTAATACTCATAAAAAAATAAATTCTGCTCTTTCATTTATAAAATTTCAATTTTACTTTGATTGGTTAGAAACGAAAATGAAAATTTCTCTTAGCAAGAAAATGACTATTATGAAATGGTTAAATGTGCATACATCAATTTCATAATGTACATGCTCTAAGTATATATGCAGCAAAAAAATAAATGTGTGAAATGAGTAATCTTTAACTTGTAAATGGGCATTACTCACGAGTGCATTCAGGAATATGTTTCAAGGGGGGCATTATATATTTTAGACAATATTGATATTTAAAAAAAACATCCAAAAATGTAGAAACTTCCAACACTTTTTCTGGATGTTTTTTACTTTACTTATAGATGCGTTTTATTTTGATTATTTCGGATCAGTTGTTCATAATATTCCATAGTGTAACAAAAATTATTTAACATTCAATGTGAAGAATGGGATTAAGGGTCTTAAAGCTAGTTGATGATAAGAACTCCATACCTCTTTCTAATTCTTGAAATTTGTATACATGCAATAAGAAAAGATTTTTTTTGTTAACCCAAGGTCTATTTTTGTGTATTTATTAATGGGAATATTGTTGTGTACTTTTCTAGTAGGGATTATTAAGGGTACACGAGTTAATTTTACTAAAAAGTACACGAGTTAGAAATCATAAATTCTAGCTATATTTTTAAATTTATATATGTTGAGCTAACTAAATTTAAAAAGATTACTCATTTTGGACACTTTAAAAGATTACTCATTTTGTTATATCAGCATCTCTTAATGGGTGTAATTGGTTTCTAATTTAGGAGTTTCAATTAGGGGTTGGTTAATTCTTATTGTATCTAGTTTTGGTTACTTCCGAAATGTGTGAATTCACTACCCAAAAACCCCACTAGCATAACCACTGTAACTAGCCTAAACTTTTAATCTGTACTTATTTCCTACAAAAGTTAGCAAGAAAATAAACAAAGAGTTCAAATAAACGGATCAACAAACGAAGATTTTAAAGAGATGGAAATACTTATCTCTTCCGTGACGAAAATGATTTTCATCCAACCTGCTAATTGATGGAAACCAAACCTTAGATTTTTCTCAACTGAGTCTTTAACATTGCATAGAATGCATGAGAAAACATGGCAACTTATTTAACACTAACTATCATTCAAGCAGCCTAGGTTCGGTAAAGCTATTCATGATCATTCAAAATTTTTGATGAACAAAAGAACTTGCAGTAAATTGTGAACAAAGAGAACATTAGGTATTTCGAATACTAACAATAATAGGTGTCTTCCCTTCGACGCAAGTCAATCTTTTGCAATGACAATGAACTTTAAAAACATTTGGTATTCAAAGTGATATTCGGTTTTTTTAAATTTGACATCCAACTACTAAAGCTACAAATTGCATGTATAACTGTACATAAATTAGAGCCTGAACTAAAACCATAACCAGATAACCACCTTAGAAACACAGAAAACAACAAAGAGAAAAGATCACTTTAAAGCAAGATAGTTCATGGATAAGTGGGCTACTAAACAGTAAAGGCTCACAAACAAAAACAGCATGATCATTTAAAAAAAACAAACATGGCTAACAGGTAAAAGAGTAGAAAGGCTTGCTAGTTGCATAGGATAAGTTTATGAGCTTGGTACTATTAGGTGGTCTCAGGAAATGGCAAAGTTGAATAACAGGTAAGGAGTGAAGTCTTCAAGAACTGGTACTCCTAAAGAAAAATCCTCATTCATCTGGTCTTCAGGTTAGGCTGAAGGCTTCACCAAAGGGGGCAGTAGGCTGGGGCTTCAGGCTTCAGCTGTTTTGGTATGGAGGGAATTCAAACAAGGGGAAAGAACAGTGTCATCAGTTACATCAGAGGGAGACAGGTTACGGTGTTAAGTAAATTGTCAAAAATATAAAATTCTGCTTCTAATTATAAAGACGTGAATACTTTAGTGTAGATAAAGGTAACAAGGCCACTCTGCAATTACAGAATCTATGGTTTACCTGCATATCAGGATAGAAAACTTCAGTAACCATAACTTCTTCTACGGGATTCAGAGTTTGATCCAGAAAGCCTGATAACATGAGTTCATATTTATGAATCATCAGGAAATATAAGCAACACATTTCCAAGCATTTGAGCAAAACTGGTGAGGTTAGAGTCCAAGAGATACTCAACACAAGATTAGCAAATAGGTTCTGTAGGGATAACTCCATCCGACCCAAAATGAAGTTTACACTTAGACTTCACAGAGTTTAACAAAAGTGTTAAAAAGTGAAAGGTGTGTGGTTGACATTTCTTTAGAAGAGAGAAATGACGAAATCTAAACATATGAAAACAATTAAAAACATCGTCCCATAATTTTCTTTTTGCTCTCATGGATGGCACTGTTTTAATTTCGCTTGCATATTACGACATAAAGCCAAATGCAAGAATATGATTCCCTTGGCATTTTTCCCTTTCCATAGTATATTCCGCGATCCAAAATACCCTTAAAATCTACAAAACTATGCCATTTTAATCCCCCAAGCTTATAATGTTTCATAATGCCAACAAAAATAAGAGGACAGTAAAGAGCATTGGGAAGTGGGATGGATGATGGATATAAGTACTTACCCAGAACTACCAGAACGGCCCACATGATACCCTTCATATGCTCCATGCCTGACGCTGCTGCTGCTGTTACTCTGCAAATAAATTAAATAGTAGAGTGATACAATTGAAAAGGGCATACACATAAGTTCAGTAAATGTAATAGTTTCAAGTAAAGCAGATGATAGTAAGTTCAGGCTGGCAGAGGACTAGCATAATCATCTAGAATGTTGGCGAGATAAAAAATGAAAAAGGAATTACATGAACACCACCATAATGTCGGTAACTATCACTATAGTGTGGGGGATCATTCAGTCCACCATAATCGCCAGGATAAGAATGTCCATGTCTTCTAGAATCTTTGCTTTCATACTTTATGCTACGTGAAGGATCATCCGCTGACATAGGAAGATATGGAAGAACAGGCACAATGGCAGATACAGCACCTTCTCTTCCAAAAAGATTTGCTCTCAACCGTGAGGTGACTTGTAAGAGTGCATCCTTTGACACATTTAGATCTCCAGATATCTAGAAAATGAGAGAGAGAGAGAGAAGAGTAATAGTGAGAAGCATATCATCAGTATAACCCATTAGAATCAGTAGAAATGAGAGAGAGAGAGAGAGAAGAGTAATATCTGAATGGATCAGTATATCAAAAAAGCCCCATGGATGCATGACACAAAATCAAGGTGAGAACTGCATATTAATGGATTATATAATTTGGAAAAGTAAAACCTGTGATGTATACCTCTGACCCTCAAAAAAGAATTCGTGTTTGACCATTGTAGAAGTTTAAATTTTGAAAAGGTTTAAGTGACATGGATCAAAAATGATACTAGTATTTTGTTAACTTTATTGGTTGGTTTGGCTAAATTTATCATGTGTAACTTGCCAGTGACTTTTTTTTATAACCTTTTGACAAACTAGGTGTCAAATCCTCCGTAACTGGAATTAGATTCAATATAACGACTCTTTTGTAGACAAAAATGTGTTTGGAACATGACTCTTATTATTTTGAGAAGGAGTGATTTATAATCACACCTACCAGCACCATCTCGTCATCTTCAGCAGCAACCTTGGGAAGGTGTTCCTTTGAGAGTATACGAATGTTAGCTTTGGTCATTCTCCTCATCTCGTTGATTATAGAGCCTCCCTTTCCAAGAAGACAGCCTATGCGAGAGGTGGGTACAAGCAAGCGGGTGGTGAATGAAATAAGGCCAGAGTCTCTTTCACTTTGTTCACTACACCTTGGTTGCAACCGCACTGCTGCTTCAACTGTTGGAGAGTATGTATCTTCAAAAAACTGTCAAAAACAATTGTAAAAAACATATATGTTATGGACTTACGGTGACTAAACAAAAAAGGATTTTTTGACAACGAACTTTGGCAAAACATCCACATTGAGCACCATGTATATGTTTGGATCCCAGAAAATGTTAGTGAAGGAAATGCTATTTCCATGTTTGACTTTAGCTAGAAGGCTAGGACGAAGTCAAGGAAAATAAAATATGATTAGTTTCTTCTGTAACTGGATCATTAGTTTAGATTTTTTTAGTCTTTTTTATGATAAAATGACTGGCTAAAATGAGTTTAACTAAATATCACAAATAAATTAATTGACTTTTAGCATATCTTGTATTTTCCCC